CATGATCGTACTGAATCCAGAACGTGGAAGTAAGGAGTTGTCAGCACTATGGGGTGCCATTAAATCAGGTGAAAATATCGAGAAACATGCGGCTGCTTGCTCACTTGCGGCTGTCTTCGTATGGCATCCGGCGGACACGTCTAAACCCACAATTCGTATCCTTTATCCAGGTTCGTTCTGTTGCAACGCCAACCAACGGGGTGGGCCTCTCTCCCTCCATACCAGTGGTTACGTGCGGGATTCTTAACTTTGTTTTCAATTGAAGCATGTGACCATCAGTTCCAAAGTTTTTTTCGCTGAATGGTAATTGTTCCTGCGATAAGATCACGCCTGATCGAAGTTTTAGCTCTATGTTAGAATCTTGCCATCTGCTATGTTATTTGACATTTCGGATGTTTACTCTGAATGCATTATCACCGATGAGTTTTGGTGTTTGCAGTTACGATATCGTGATTAAGATATTTTCAGTGATGATTCGATATTATCAGTCGCTTAGTGAACAAAAAAAACGATATGACATTTCAGGTGCGTGTCCACTGGAGAAGCTTTACACAGCGTTGGAGAAATTGAAAGGTGAAGAGTATCTGAGATATTTGGATTATGCGAGTGCAAATCGTGAGAAATACATCATGTCGGGGCATGCAAACAATCGTCCTCCAGCGCATCATGCGCCATCGTCAGGCCCAGCTCACAAACCACTTGCTCAGGCTAAACCTCTTGCAAAGTCAGCCGCAGCTGCTGCTACTGCTACAGCACCTGCAACCGCTCGAGCTACTAAAAGACCAACGAAGCCAACGAGTACGCCCTAGAATCTCCCATTTTTTCTCAAAATTTCTTTCAAAAAGTTATTTATGAATTATGTCTCCATCGGTATTATCTCAGTCACTGGAGGTAGCTTACATGGAAGTTAGGGATAATAAATGGAGATTCCGGCCTCGAAAAGACCGATAATTGAAACGTTTGATAGGTTTAGGTCTTGCATCACGTCCTGCAACAGGTTCATCGCGTACCACAACGACAACCACTACCACATCAACAACATCTGCGGGTCATACGAAGACAACAACGACAAAAGCGACCACTGAAACAGCTGCAAAGAAAGTTACGAAGTAGGTTTTGTGATTTTCCAACTTTTAACGTTTGGCTCTTTTAATGAAGGCAAAAATTACACCCAAGAGTTATTTTTCAATCGTTTCATAACTGAACGATGACCCACATTCATCCATCTCATATCAGATTCATTCTGCGGGGATTTGTGATTGATATGATATCTATGTGCTCTATAGTAATCATGATAATCATAAGGGCAAAGAGGCCTTCCACTGATGATGACAGCGGTGCAGATATGCGATGAACTGGTTCAGAATTAATGAGAAGAGTGACCGTTTATGGGATGAAACATTTCCAAAAGTTATCTTCAGCTTCCCTTATGAGCGGATGCTTCAAATTTTGCTCGAATTTATGACAGAATTTCCTCAATCGTTTTCCATTCGTGT